TCGCAAAACTTGTAATTAATTCACACGAAGGCATCAAAGTCGCGAGGTGGAACAAACTCGAAATCGGCCACGATCACCAACAACCATCTTTATCAACAAGGAATTATGTACAAAGAAATTTGTTTATATTTTTTGACTGGTGCCTATACGTGCACAGATAAGTCATAAGACTAACAAATGCACAAAATGAGTACGGAAAGATATTTATGGCGAACAAACAGATAGGGGCTACTGTTACCTACGCGCGTTGTAGCACCAAACGTAAGAATTCGCGGACAGAATTCATCATACGTAAAGAAAGGTGTTACAATTGAATTCAAACACACTGAAGTGACGGAAATTAAGAAAAACTCCAATTAAATATGCAATATGAATTGCAAAGATCAAGAACGTTTTCGAAAATTATGTAATTGTACGTACCCATTGAATGTAGAGTACACATGGCAGCATGTGTAAAAAGACTTTCCGAATCAGACTGCTGATGGCGTGCTGTTAGAGTCAGGTAAATCAATAACCCTTCTTCGTAGCGATTGGCCGACAGCAGAGCTCACGAACTCTAACGGAGGGAACATTAAACCTAATATTACGTGGTCCGATTCCATTGGACATCAGCTTTCAAATACGTGAGCTCGATGTCAACCCCGGAAGTAAAAGCCAGTCGTTATTGATTCTTTCGAGAGGCAGTGCAGTCTCCGTGATTCAATGTTTGCCTTGGAATTTAGCTAAGAGTTATTCACCTTCTTAAGTTCAAGATTTCGGAAGTCGGTACTCAAATAAATATGTTCGTCGGGATAATTAGCAATATTTATATCCTGCGATACATATTACACTATTGTGTGCTTCGTACAGTGAAGACGAGAGGACGTTCTCCTTTCAGTGAGGTATGCAAGATGGAGACGAGTGGAACATTACAATTACGGTCTGATGTACGTGTACGTGTGAATTGCCGAGATGTGTCATTAATCTCCGTGAAATAACTTCCGACAATGCTTGTGTGCACAAGACAGGCGTGTGTTAATTATGGTGATAGCCAAATAAATTCCAGATGTACCAGATTTACACAGGTTGGACGTGTCTAAATGTAACGTGAGTGTGTGCATATGTATACATATATATTTCCGACAAGCCGAATCTTTGTAATATCGAGATATTACAAAGATTCGGCTTGTCGGAAATATATATGTATACATATGCACACACTCACGTTACATTTAGACACGTCCAACCTGTGTAAATCTGGTACATCTGGAATTTATTTGGCTATCACCATAATTAACACACGCCTGTCTTGTGCACACAAGCATTGTCGGAAGTTATTTCACGGAGATTAATGACACATCTCGGCAATTCACACGTACACGTACATCAGACCGTAATTGTAATGTTCCACTCGTCTCCATCTTGCATACCTCACTGAAAGGAGAACGTCCTCTCGTCTTCACTGTACGAAGCACACAATAGTGTAATATGTATCGCAGGATATAAATATTGCTAATTATCCCGACGAACATATTTATTTGAGTACCGACTTCCGAAATCTTGAACTTAAGAAGGTGAATAACTCTTAGCTAAATTCCAAGGCAAACATTGAATCACGGAGACTGCACTGCCTCTCGAAAGAATCAATAACGACTGGCTTTTACTTCCGGGGTTGACATCGAGCTCACGTATTTGAAAGCTGATGTCCAATGGAATCGGACCACGTAATATTAGGTTTAATGTTCCCTCCGTTAGAGTTCGTGAGCTCTGCTGTCGGCCAATCGCTACGAAGAAGGGTTATTGATTTACCTGACTCTAACAGCACGCCATCAGCAGTCTGATTCGGAAAGTCTTTTTACACATGCTGCCATGTGTACTCTACATTCAATGGGTACGTACAATTACATAATTTTCGAAAACGTTCTTGATCTTTGCAATTCATATTGCATATTTAATTGGAGTTTTTCTTAATTTCCGTCACTTCAGTGTGTTTGAATTCAATTGTAACACCTTTCTTTACGTATGATGAATTCTGTCCGCGAATTCTTACGTTTGGTGCTACAACGCGCTTAGATAACAGTAGCCACTATCTGTTTGTTCGCCATAAATATCTTTCCGTACTCATTTTGTGCATTTGTTAGTCTTATGACTTATCTGTGCACGTATAGGCACCAGTCAAAAAATATAAACAAATTTCTTTGTACATAATTCCTTGTTGATAAAGATGGTTGTTGGTGATCGTGGCCGATTTCGAGTTTGTTCCACCTCGCGACTTTGATGCCTTCGTGTGAATTAATTACAAGTTTTGCGACACGAAAGAG